TGGGAATTGAGAAAATATCCTCAGTGATTTCTCTTTATACTAGTGATCACCAATTTTTACATATGAACAAATATATTAATTGCCTGTCTTTTTGGAAAACAAAAGAACCACCAAAAGGTTATACTCTATGAACATCTCCACATATATGGTCTTAGTATAGAATAGTTCAATTGGAACTGCCTTTCAGTGATCACCTAATGTAACTGCAAACTTAGAAACAGCAATAAATATATAAAAAAGAAACTCCCCAACACCAACATGCTGTCAAACATGTAGCTACTTCACCACTAAACTGGAAAAACTAGTTTGATTGTCTTTCTTATGGCTTCCAGAAATCCTCAAGATTCAGACAAGGGTTCAGCATACTCTGCTCCTAAAACACAGTGGCTACCAACAACATCCAGCATATCCTATATGCAGCACTTATTGTTCTGTCCTGGGAGGAAAGTGACTCTCAGTTTGCATACTTGTTCCAATCACAAGAATGTACTAGAATATCCACCTTTTGATACTATTAAACAAAGTAGCACACATTCAGAAATAAAAATCAAACAAGTTGATAATGATAATCATGCTACTGTTCCCCTGCAAAGCAATTAAAACTGCTTTTATCACCATAAATCTCAAGCAAGATTTTAAGCCTGTAGCAGAAATCTGACTAATCAAAATCAGTATCTAATCAGAAGTACTTTTGTCATGGAAAAGCAAAATCACACTCTGTCAGCAAGATACTTATTTAATAAAAACATATAATTAGGTACACTGTTTTAGAATTGTACCCTGTGTTTTGGAAACCATGGCCAAACCGATATGCCACCATCTTCCCACATGCTGAGTAACTAAATTTATTTTACACTTGTAACTATTTTTATTTACCATTACAGAAGCTTTCCAAAACTACAGTCAGAACTGACTTACATGTGATTAATTCTTCATTATTGTGATTTTAATCTAAAATAAGGTTATTTTGCAGCATATCTATTGACTCAAATAGGACTGTAGGAGTTTTACAGCCTGATTAATATACGCAGTTTTTAGTTCAGCATGGCTCACTTGAAACCACAAAGCTGCTATTTGAAAATATCTAAATATGTGCTACTGTCACAGGATGAACAAAACAACTTGCAAATATCTTTGACATATTTGCTCATTTTGGCTGGAGTAGAGTTAATTTACTTCACAGTGGCTAGTATGGGGCTATGTTTAGGATTTGTGCAGGGCGCAGGGTTGACAATTCAGAGATGTTGTGGCTGAGCAAAGCTTACACAGAGCCAAGATCTTTCTGCTTCCCATACTGCCATGCTGGTGAGGAAGTTGGGGGTGCATAGGAGGCTGGGAGGAGACACAGCTGGGAGAGGAGACACAGCTGGGACAGGTGACCCAAACCGACCAAGGGGATATTCCATACCATATTATATCATGCTCAGTATACAAAGTGGGAGGAAGAAGGAGGAAGGGGAGATATTTGAAAGGATGGTGTTTGTCTTCCCAAGCCACCGTTAGATGTGCTGGGGCCCTGCTCTCCTGGAGATGTTGAGTGAAGGAGTAAATTAATTTCTTGTTTTGCTTTGCTTGCGTGCATGGCTTTTGCTTTCCCTGTAAAGCTGTCTTTATCTTAACCCATGACTTCTCTAGCTTTTATCCTTCTGATTCTCTTTTCCAACCCACTGGTAGAGGAGTGAGTGAGCGGCTGCATGGGGCTTGGTGGCTGCTGGGGTTAAACCATGACAACATGGGAACATGGAATAAACACCATAGAAGTTTATGCAAGAGAAGTAAGAGTCACATCTTCATTTACAGTTTCTACAGTTAAATGTCAAATTTAATTTCTTTATTTCATTTAAAATCAAAATAACTAGGAAACAGCCAACCAGCAACTGAACTCAGGAAAAAGAAAGACTACATTTACTGAATTGCATTTCAACTCAGTTTCTCTTGTACTTTTCCCTGATTACTTCAATAGTATGAAGTATATTCTCCAAAATGAATTAGGTTAAATTACATTTCATAAATTAAAGAAGTTATTTGGATATTCTTGCAAAGAGATGTTATAGCTGTGAATTGAACTATGCATGACATTGTTTATTACTTACAGCACACAGCTTCTATAATATTATTTCTACCTACGCAATGCACAGAAAAACACATTAAATAAGGTATAGAATTTTGAAAAACTGAAGCAATTGCACTTCCCAACAATAAATATAACTAACATCTGTTGCAGAAACTGCTTGGCACTTACACAGTTTTGTGAAGGATTTTTGTCGTAGATAAATATTTTTCTACAATTCCTATTATGCACCACTCAACTCAGACATTTTCCTTAATTATACTCCAAGGAGTCCTTTCATATCCATTAAAGAAAGGCAATTCGTTGCCTAAAAGAATGCATACATACTTTTACTTTTCAACTGTGATTCATCTGTCTTCTGACATTAAAAAAAATAGAAAAATCAAGGAAATACGTATAATTAATGGACTTGGTTCTGCAAAAATGTCTAATAAAATCTCAGTGCTCAACACATTGGTTTTGTCAAATTCTTAAATATGCTGGTTTTGATACAAGGAATGGTTTTATGATTCAGCATTTCACTTTCATTTCACGTCACAATAATGAGGACAACAGCACAGCAAAGCCATTAGGAAAGCAAGAAACTTCCATTTCAACTTCGGCAAAAATGACTGAATAAGGCTTCCACTTTGTACACAATGCAAACACAGGGCATCATTTTTTCAGGAAGAAAGAGACAAATCTGTGACAATCTCCTCCTTTTTTTATTCTTCTTAATTCTGTTTTCCACTATTTGTAAGTAAAAAAGTGCAAAGACATATACTGAGCTCTTGATAGAGGGTTGTTTTTTTCCTGAAAACGCGACTAAGCTACGCATATTTAACAAAATTCTTGTATTTACCATTTCATGCACACTCAGAGCAGCAACCAAGGCTTGTCTGCTGGAACAATTAACTAAATTTTTTTTACATTATTTTTTAAAAAGTACGCAGTAGAAACCTATTTAAAGGCTATTGTAAGCATAAAGATCTGCTTCTCTACTGAGATATCAAACAACTGGTAATGAAGGATGAGGTGAAAATGAGAGTATTGCCAATAAAAGAAAAGAAATGCTAACTCTGAGCACACAAAAAATTCAGTTCAGGCCCAAAAGTCTACCCACATGTGCTCAACTGCAATATGGGAGAGTTACATGTATAACTTGCTGTAAACCAAATCAGCTGGCATTGTATTCACTATTCTCATGAAATTGGACAAGAAACATTTCTTAAATTAAACCTCAATTAACTTTGAACAAAATTTGGCCATTTGAAAAATTTAAAAAGTAGCAAAATAAGAAACACTTAAATCATGTCAAAAAAAAGAATTTTTGTTGATGGAAATTGTAATCTGTATTGTTCAATGAAAACAAACTTACAACCAAAACATGAAGAGTATATTTGGATGATCAGGTGAAATCAGATGTGTCTCAGTATATTGTAATATTTTAAGTGGAAGGTTTAGGAACATATGCTTTGCTTTTACACTGTACAATAAATTAGGAGAAATTAATAAACTGATATACCAAAAAACAGTCATATCACATTTCATATTACATTTTCCTTAAAAATTCATTAGTTTTTTCTACATCTGTTTGCCTATGAACAAGACCTAGAACTTGCAGATTCTATTCCTGTATCATTTTAGTTTACTTTTATATGTAACTAGGTATACTAAATCCAAACTCTTTTTTTCCCCCACTTTTTTCCTAAGCACGGATTCTTGGAAGAAGGACCAAAAATTTCATTAAACATTTTACAGTATAGTTTACATTCTACTCATATTAAAATCACCACTATACTCCAGTCACATTTGCAACAGTTCTTAGCACATAATAAGCTTAATTTTTAATCCTCTTTTGGCTAAGAAAGGAGGCAGAAGTAGCAATAAAGCACTAAAGACAGTATGTTCAACTATACTGTACTAAGAGCAGCTATTCTAAAGATCAGTTAGTTCTGAATTGAAAGCCTGAAAGTTCAAATTTTAGACAAAGAAGTTAATCTAAGAAAGGATCAAGTTTAAACACAAAGTAGCAACATAGGTGCTGAACAGTTTTAACTGCTGTTATAAATACACCACGAACAGAACAAACAGAAGATTTCACATACAATCTTTAATAGGAAGAGTCCTTTAAGTGACATCTATAAACAGAATGACAGAACCAAATTTTATCTTCTGCCTACAACTTCAGAAGAATAAGTAGAGCTTCTCACGAAGAATCAGTAACTTTCAGCATTTCCTCAAATGCACATGACATGAAAGGAATTGTAGACAAGCTGAATTTTTCAGAAACTGAAGAGCAAAAGCTGCACTGAATAGAACTATTACATAATTTACTATGTGATAGCTAGAAATTAGACAAAAACATTACTCCTTAAAAGAGGAAAACCAGACCTAGTTAAGGACTTCAGAACAGGAGTTGCAAGTCCGCCTTACACCAGTACATAGCAGTTCAGAAAATAGCTTTTACATAAAAGACAACCTATAGTTGCATTCTATTGCTTTAAGCAGTTGCAAAGAATGGAGTAATGGAATAGTGCAAAATTAAAACTAATAGCAAACAAAAACCCAAGCTAAATAACCAAAAAAAAAAAAAAAAAAAAAAAAAAAAAAAAAAAAAAAAAACAAAAAAAAAAAAAAAAACACTGTCCCAGCAGCTTTACATAAGAGTAGTTTAAAAAACATCTTTTCTCCCTTAAGCAAAATATGATGAAAGCAGAAGATCTGTTTGTATCCAAGTACTACTTGTCTGTTTTCCAGAACAACTAAGCCTGTATAGAGTGCATTGGACTAAGTTCTTAGAAACTGGGACTGTTCTTGGTCTGCATACTTACACTAAAGAGAAACTGAGGCCAGTCCTTCACTACGATGTCAGGGCAATAAGTAATAGTGGGTCAGTGGTGTGCTGATAGCAAATACAAACAGGCAAGATGCTGCCACGTTAACATACCTCTTGTACGGAGCGAGCTGCTGGCTTGTCTTGGTGATTGGCCAGTATTAAAAACGGCAAAGTACATAACTGTGGGTGCTGGAGAGCAGAATGCAGTTCATTCCTAGCCGTTTCTAGATCATCTTCAGAGGAGGCGCTGTCTAATACAAATATTACCCCTTGGGATCCTTGGTAGTAACGACTCCAGTATTTCCTGATATTGTCAGCCCCTTTCAAGACAATAACAAGAACTAATTAAACCAAGAATAATTAAACAGATTTAACACTTGTAACTGAAAATAACCCATCTAGTTACAATGATCAAAACAATTAATGGGACTGTATCTTCCAATCATCATTAAAAGAATAAAAAGGAAAAAAGCCATCATAAATACAACACACACAACTGTCAAACCAGCACTGTTTAAATAAGGAAGTTGACTCAATGCAGCTTTCATCCCTGAAAGCTTCTGCTCCATTAATGCATACAGGCAGAACTACCATGCTTCTAGGACCAGTGCTACTAGTCTAATCCTTTACCTTTTCACTGAAATATCTTGGCACTAACACCTTTGCCCAATCTTTTTTACTTAGCCCTGCAGCTCCTGCCATAACCTGTAGCTTCTGTCATGGCAGCTCCTCATTTCTGAGTAAGAAAAGGTCTTCCAGTTCATCTCCAAACCATCAGAGAACTACTTCATAATTGGGGAAAAAAGGTGTCAGGAAAGCCTATTAAAGTAATTAGATACTTAATGAGGAGAATGGTGATACAATAGTGAGTTGAACAGTGAATGAGGAGCTATGGTGACAACATGCAAAGGCATTCAGTTCAACTACTTTTGCTCTGTCAACCACACTAAGGATTTTGGAAGAGCCCAACAGCAGACACATGAGTGACTGTACAGGCTTATATGCCAGAGTAATTTTTAGGACACAGTTCAGCAGCACTCAGCCATCTCAACAGAAGCCAAGCAATAAGGTTATCAACAGAAAGCTTTTGTCTCCCCTGGAGAGCAGCATATGTTGCAGCATTGAGGTAGGAAAAAAAAAATTGTATTTGACAGCTGTCAAACTATCTAAACTATGATTTGGATATGGGCTATTCTTTGTATGTCTGAATCTGGCACTACACTCATGGGGACGAACACTAAACAGTGAACAGCAGCAGCAATAGTCTAGTACAAAACTTGACATGTCTGCCAGACAGTGACTTGCAGAAATGTGCTGAAGGTATCTTTTATAGACACTTTCCTTACTTTCAGACAAGGAGAAGTGAACTTCTATGCAGACAGAGATACTAAGATCTTAAAATAACAAAACTGCTTTTCAGTGAAACAAAACACAAAATTTCTGAGCAACATGTAAACACAACATGAGATTTTAATGCAACACAATTACTATAACATTGATATAGTACTTAAAATAGTCAATTTATACATCCTGCAACAAAAGACAGTCACTAAACAGAGGTGAACAAATAAATACTTAAAAAGGAATTTGCATCATATACTTTTAGTATCCAACTCAAGAGTATTCAAATCTCATCTCATGGAGTTATTGTCATCTTTGCACCAGCCACACTGGAGCCTTAAGCATTTTGTTTCTGTATCTGCACATACAAAATTTAGATAGCTAACAAACACTGTGAACACACACACAGACACTTTCTTCTACAGAGAACACCGAAGTCATACATAATCAGTTCTTTTCTGCAAGAGACTTACAGAGTTGACTGGTTAAAGGCAAATGGTCATGAGATTTAGTCAAGACCTTGCTTAATTTCTCTTTTGATTTAACCAGACTCAAAGCAACAATGCACAAATAGGACATATGTTTCATTTATTGTATCATCAACCTTTGAAGACCAATATTACATATACAGAAAAGGGATTGCATAGAAAGCTCATGCTATGTTTCTGTACCACACAAATATCTGCCAACTGTACTTGTTAAGAATATCATAGCATCTGTTAGATGTCCCAGTCTTTCCAAACAGCTGTCTACATCAGAACCAAGCAGAGCAAGTTGCCAGAGGGACACTATTTACATAGCCACACACAGCAGTGTCACAGGCATCTGAAGTATCACATTACTTTAAAAACTAGTAGAGAATCATTTTCAATGAACTGAAAGGCCAAGACCATGATCAGTTCTTTGAAGGTATTTTTTTTCTGTCCACCATAACATCTGTCTTATTTACTCTAAGCATCAGTCAGCTACTTTTCAATCACATGTCACTGCCAGAACCTGAGTCTTATCTTTGTAACCTCACTAATTCTAAACAGAAAAACTGTGTGGTGAACTGCAGAACATTTGACCTTTTGTATCCAAGCACATAGAAGAAAGCAGCTCATGGATCCCTACATAGGACACTGAAGCCAGAAAAGGAGTATGTTGATTTGTTGGCCTTATGGTCCCGTCGTTTTGGTTTAGGTTCTTAGCAGCTCAGCTTTGCTTCTCCACATCAACAGTCCCAAAAGAAAAACCACCAAAGCATACTAATCCTTTTCTCTGCAGCCCTGGCTAGCCACCATGGCATAGTTATAAGAACCAACTTATAATGTCCAGCAAACCCTGGTATTTCCTCTGGGATCTTCAATTATTCTAGTGACCTGCTCTGAACTTGCTTACACTTCAGTTCTGAGGAAATCACAGCCTGAGGTTTAAGAATAAAAATAATTTGCACTAAGCAGACAAGAAAAAAGGCTGATAAAGCTTGTACCTTGGGGTGCCATTTTAACTCATTTTTCTGGCAAATGCACTCGAAAAATAATTCTTGGCATCAATAAGATATCAGCAGCTGGAAATCACAAGTTATACAAGACAAATAATCTGATATTCTTTTGCCTTAACTCTTCATAACCAGGGAGTGTACCTCAGCTCCTTTCCTCAGAGCATTAAGCAGTATGCTGTGGAGCTACTCTGGGCAGGAAACACTGCCCTGTGAATAGTGATCCAGTCACCACACTTCGTGGCATATAAAATTCAGTCTTAGAAAGCCAGTAGTTGTTTTTAAAGGTGCAATTTAGCACAGACTATTCTATGAATTAATCTTTTCATCTATTTCAAAGGTTTCTAAGACAGGGAAATTCAAAGCCTGAGTTCTTTGGCAATCCAGAATGTAATGTGCATCCATTACATACCCTCAGGCCCTCAGAGACTGCCAATACAAAACTAGGAACTTAACTTCACTGGTACCCAAGCATTTAGGCTTGTCAGCCTGATATCATGTGTTTCTCTAATGGCTTGGCACCATATGGTTTTGCACCACCTTCAACCATCTTTATGCCTAAATTCAGATTTAAAAAACATAATTAAATTTTTTTTAAAATCTCAAGAACATCAGAAAAATATAAGAACGCACACTGCACTGAGGTCATGCTCTATGTGAATGGTTCACAAAAATGTGATGTTCAGTGTAGTAGTTTCCTCAGGCACAGGCAAGGGCCATGTCTCACAGCTAAGTCTATGATTTGCTTCTCTCAGCAATGAGCCTATGGGAGTGGGTTGAGTCCCGTGATGTGACTAAAACATACCATTTACAAATAAATTAGAAAAAGCAACAAAACTCAATGCCACAACTCAATCACACCACTTATTAGAAAAACAAAGGTACTATTCAATCAAATGTAGGCTTGAATTACTTTATAACTAGAAAAACAAATCAAAACAGAAAAAAGCCCAGAAAAAAACCCCGAACCAAACCATACCAAAAGCACCCAAAAAAATTACAAGATGCCGTCATTAAAAACCTCAATCATTTAGCATTACTACAGGGCAGGTAGATTCAACTCACTGCAATATTAAAGACCTTTCATTTATGCTTCTTTATCATCAACCAAAGGAACAGTGTGCCCATATTAATAATGTTAATGTTTTGTATCACTGCCAACAGTACCCCTTAGAAGCTAGGGG